CATAATGGATGATAAATAGTTTCCCTGCGAAGTTGCAATGCATTTCCTATGAATGGTTGCCAGAACAAACCAATTATCTATTAAAAAGATATAGTCCTATACTACTGCAGTAACTGGTTTCAAACACTTAACCCTCTGGATGCCGAGGTTTTTTTTCTGACGCACATTTTCCTAAGATCGGAAAAGTGAAGGTTGTGCGAGAATTGCGCTCACGCGGCACTGGATCTACCTCTGGCTATAGCGCAGAGGTGGAGAATATTAAATTTTCTATCTGATGGTGTAAATGTAACTGCAAATATAAAACCGGTTTTAAAGAAAAGACACTTCTAAGTGTTGACCGAGAATTTATTCTGCGTTGAAAAACAATAAATTTCTCCACTTTTTATCGTACACCGATAAAAGTACTGTGCGACGATATTTTTTATTTAGAAGCTTTACGGAAACTGTGTATATGCGTATGTATAACGACATACATTCAATGCCAAAAATAGCATGCTGTACATGACGAAAACTAATTTTTCTCTATGACGTCAAAAGGCCACAGAGAGGTTACACACGTACAAAGAAATTGGGGCATAACTCCGCTATGCTTAGCACTAGTTTATTGTAACTCAGATCACTTGATGAGAATTAGCTGTGGGTGAGGACAATATATTTTCGTGGTGTTTTGTTCACGAGGAACCAAACTATTCCAACACAAATATCGATATTCAAACTGTATACGTTTAGTTATAAAATATACCAATAAGAAATGATGAAATCGTACTTCATAAAAAGGAGGTAATAGAGAAATGGATGGCCTTATCTAACCTATAACTTAGTCCTTAGATTCCAACATTCTCCTGATTGTGTAAGTGTAATTTGACTAATGTTGCATCATTATTAATGGAGCACTAGCCTTATCATCAAATGTAATTAAATACCCCCCCAAAAAACACTATTCCTTTTGAAGTCATGGCTGGTTTTAGGTCTTTGAAAACGTCGGAGAAAGACGACACTGGTATTTTGATTAATATGTATCTCCCCTAATTTTCGTTCATGGTATGGAAAATCTCGATGTGTGGAACGGAATTTGACGCTTTTTCGACACAACATAAAATGACTGCTTTCACCAAGTAAATAATGTCTTGAATATGTAAACAATTAGATAGTTTATCGTGTTAATTGGACAAGACACGTACCTGTTTGGCATCAATATACGTAATGAAATAACCAAAAGAATGTTTCAAAACAACCAATCTATTGGTATAGAATTATTAGGATAATTGTACACGGTTGAACCAACAGGGTACCTGGCATGGGTTTTATTTTTATACTTTTTTCCCCTGGAGAAATAAAGTAAACAGAATGAACCCATTGATTATATAATGCAAAACGAGAGGAATAATTCGTAAATTGTTTGTGACTAACGCGCACCTGGCGTATCGTTAGATATCACTTTTCTGTGTAGCAAACGGCATAAAAACAATTCCAAGAAATGCGTGTATATATTTTAACGAAAAATATTATCCATTTTGTTAAAGTAATATATTCAGTTTTAGTTATAAAATAAAATGAAACGGCTATTCATGGACATTGGTTATGAACTTATAATATTGAATATTTGACATCCCAAGAAATACGTACATGCTGTAGTTACATTTACACTTCATCTTGTAACAGTTGTCCAAAGGAAAGAAATATCGTATTCGTCACTATAAACCTATCAATTGTTATGTAAACAATGTTCAAACAAACAGGAGATTATCAAAGGTTCAATCATACATGTTGTGGCCTATATTTACGTATGATATCATTTTGAACATTGACAAATATCCAAAGTGAAATTAATTGTGTGAAAAAATGTTTAAAAGATATGCAAAATCTACATCATAACTGAAACTGTAAACAGCATGATACAATGATCGTGTGCACTCTCATTCAAGGACCTTCACCTCAAAGAAATTACCAAATATGTACAACAATGTTGACGTATGACATCACCACCTGTGATCGACTTTTACAAAATGGCGTATTCACTATCAACAGTGCGCGGGATTTTACGAGGGGACTTTCGTTGATTCAGGGATTGTATATACATAAATGTGACATGTTAGTAATCAGAAACATTCTGACAATCTTTGTACTGTTATTTGTTGTCATATTTTTCATCGAAACCAACGGAAATAGTCAGAAATTCCGATAAATACCGTTGTCCTTGTGCGTGATTTTGCGTCAGTCATGGCGTCACACAGAACGGTAACTTTGACAATTTCTGTTGAAAATATCAAATCATAGCAATGTATCTATTTTAAATTCCCTAATACTTCCTACGATTCTCTTCCCATGCATATTCGGAAAATGTTGAGCCACTATCTTGAACGAATAGACGAATGGATAGCTCAAAATAGGAGAAAATGCTACACTGTGTAAAATCTGTATGCATGGGAAGAGAATCGTGGGATGAATTACGTAATTTAAAATAGCTACATTGCAATGATTTGATATTTTCAACAGAAATTGTGAAAGTTACCGTCCTGTGTGACGCCATGACTGACGCAAAATCACGCACAAGCTTTAGGACAACGGTATTGGAGACGAGATGGAGAGAAATAATAACATAGTAATGATCAAATATATGTCCAATATTGAATATAATTTTGGTTGTTTTGACATATTCTTTTGCGTATTACATTACGTAAATTGATGCCAAACAGGTGCGTGTCTTGTCCAATTAAGATACACGATAAACTATCTAACTGTTTACATATTCAAGACATTATTAACCTGGTGAAAGCAGTCATTTTATGTTGTGTCGAAAAAGCGTAAAACTCCGTTTTATACATCGAGATTTTCCATACCATGAACGGAAATTAGGGAAGATATATATTAATCAAAATACCAGTGTCGTCTTTCTCCGACGTTTTCAAAGACATAAAACCAGCCATGACTTCAAAAGGAATGGTGTTATTTTTGGGGGTATTTAATTACATTTGATGATAAGGCTAGTGCTCCATTAATAATGATGCAACATTAGTCAAATTACACTTACACAATCAGGAGAATGTTGGAATCTAAGGACTAATTTATGGGTTAGAAAGGGCCATCAATTTCGCTATTACTTATCATTTATGAAGAACAATTTCGTCATTTCTTATGGGTTTTTTTATGCCCAAACGTATACAGTTTCAATATCGATATTTGTGTTGGAATAGTTTTGGTTCCCCCTGAACAAAACACCACGAAAATATATTGTCCTTACCCACAGCTAATTCTCACCAAGTGACCTGAGTTACAATAAACTAGTGTTAAGCATAGCGGAGTTATGCCCCCTTTTCTTTGTATGTGTGTAACCTCTCTGTTTTCGTCATTTACGGCATGCTATTTTTGGCATTGAATGTGTGTCGTTATACATACGCATATAACTCCATTTGATATGTAGTTATGTCGTTCAGATATTAGGCAGTATTTTGTTCGCTCACAGTTTCCGTAAAGCTTCTAAATAAAAAATATCATCGCACAGTACTTTTATCTTTGTACGATAAAAAGCGGAGAAATTTCAAGTTTTTAACGCAGAATGAATTCTCGGACAACACTTAGAAGTGTCTTCTTTTAAAACCGGTTTAATATTTGCAGTTAAATTTACACCATCAGATAGAAAATTTAATATTCCCCACCTCTGCGTAATTTTATAGCCAGAGGCAGATCCAGTGCCGCGTATGAGCAATTCCCGCACAACCGTCACTTTTCCGATCTTAGGAAAATGTGCGTCAGAAAAAAACCTAGTAGTTTTATCATATAATGGGTAGGTTTCTCGGCGGGACAAATAGAGGTTATCACGCGAGTGTGTTTGGGGATGGTAAATATCCTGCATTAGGAATAAACATTGTATTTAGCGAGCCTTGGCGATATATAAATAGAGATTACTACACGAGTGCCTGTCAGATACCATTTATCTTACAACGAGTTGTTTCAAAACGTATCTAACGAGCGAAAGCGAGTTAGATACGCATTGAAACAATGAGTTGTAAGATAAATGGTATCTGATAGGCACGTGTGCAGTAAACTGTTTCTTACACACCCTACAATCGCACCTTTTTAGCATCGACTCGATGCATTTTGTCTGTTCTCATGATCGCAGTGGCGCAATAATACATAACACACCGGAAATGAGTGATGTCATCCGACGTACTGCTTACTATTCATAAATAATGTGACCCTACACCTGAACCTAAAAACGTTTCCGCCATCTGTGGATTACAAAGGCGGTGATGATAGTGCAAATTGGATAAGATCAAAGAACCCGCATGATGCCGACTTTAAAAAATTCACCTCAAAGAAATTACCAAATATGTACAACAATGTTTACTACCATATGACATCACTGTCGCACTCTCCTACCCAGAGTTCCATGCGGCCGGCAGCCAGCTAGCATAGTACCTCTGCCACAGGCCAGCGCCATGTGACGATTCGTCACATCTTTCACAGTCCATTCAAGATATTGCATATGCTTTTCATCCGTTTCATGTTTGACAAGTCTACACATTTTCATAAGCAAATGTCATAGAATGGTTAACTTTCATTGAGAAAGTATGCAAATACGTAAAAATCTACTTGTTTTTGCGTAGTTATCCTATGTTTACATTGGTTGTACGGCTCCACGTGCTGTCATCGAAGCGCAACGGAGAGCTAGCGACACGGTCACTTTGATGCATAAATATATATTGTCATGCAACTCACTGTCGCAGTTGTAGTAGCATATCTATATAGTTATGCAAAACAATATGTAAAGCGCCCCCCAATACTTGCATTAGTCCGTTCTATACTGATTTCTGAAAAAGCGCGTTTGTTTACAAACAAGAGAAAAGTCCGGTCACGTGATATGCAAATTAGCCTGTGGCAGTGGTGTTATGCTGAGTCACCACTGCGACGGAGTGTGATCACTGTCGGTGACCGACTTCTACAAAATCGCGTGTTCACTGACACCAGTACGCGGGATTTTCAGAGGAGGATTTTCGTTGATTGAGGGATCGTATATACATAAATGTGTCATGTAAGTAATCAGAAACAATAAGACAATTTACGTACTGTTATTTGTTGGTTTTTTTCCAATGTAACAAAGAGAATTTGTCAGAAATGCAGATAACTACCGTCGTCGTTGTGCGTGACTTTGCGTCAGTCATGGCGTCACACAGGACGGGAACTTTTACGATTTCTGTTGAATTTCCCTGATCACTGTAATGTATATAATTTTAATTCCATAATTCGTGCTACGATACTCTTCCCACGAATATTCTCAAACGCGTCAGCCAATATATGCAACAATTAGACGAATTGATCTCTCAAAATGGGAGAGTGGAAAATCTGAATTTTGCTTTGTTTACATTTCATCAAGTACAGTTTTCCGAGCACAGTGTTCGTTTCCACACCTAATTTATTTCACTTGATGTCATCTCGATAATTTGTATTGGTGATAAAGACCATTTGTCACTTGATTCCAAAATGAAGGAGGAATTCAGGGATGCATGTATCGCAGCTCAGTTTGAAATGTACGTGACCTAACAGGCGTTTCATGACCCGCACACGTGAAACGTGATTTTGTCAACACTATCCAATATGGCGGAAAGTGCACTTCGGCGTTCGTGTTTGGGTATTTTCCAAAACATTCTAAACGAATCCAGGCTCCTCGACGACGTTTCAGAATTATCATTGGTGTTTTGGTGAAAAACAGATTCACGTGATCACTAATGTGCTATTTTTGAAATTCAATCCTTCGACTAAATATCCGATATTTAGATTTTTATACACACAGTAATTTTGCTTTGCCTAAAACGACAGTGGATGATATCACAGAAGAGGGAATTTCCGACAGAATTGAAAACCTTTAGTGTACGTGATGTATTTTAGTCGGCTTCGAATTGAGGATTGAAGATGATAGACATATATATCGTCGGATCATATGTTTTCGGACATGAAACGTTTTCAGACGGCAATGTTTATCGCGAATTACTCTGGCTATAACGAGGGTTGTGGTGTCAACAGACATCGTAAATACTCAGATGATGGCTTGATTTTTAGAAAAAGCTGTCTTTGATAAGTGAATGAGATGTTTTACGGTTCTTGTGATTAGCGTCCGAAAACCAATAACACGGGGATACATCTATTTACACTCTAAAGCCATAACGTTCAACACAGATGTAGGTAGACATTCGACTGAAGCACGAGCAACGTATCAGTGACTTATGATCTGGAAAGTAGTCCGTCATAATCTGACCTCAGGTCATCACCATGGAGTAGCCAATCACTGGCCTTGAATTTTGATCTCACACATATGTTTGATACCACACTCCGTCGCAGTGGTGACTCAGCATAACACCACTGCCACAGGCTAATTTGCATATCACGTGACCGGACTATTCTCTTGTTTGTAAACAAACGCGCTTTTCAGAAATCAGTATAGAACGGACTAATGCAAGTATTTGGGGGCGCTTTACATATTGTTTTGCATAACTATATATATATGCTACTACAACTGCGACAGTGAGTTGCATGACAATATATATTTATGCATCAAAGTGACCGTGTCGCTAGCTCTCCGTTGGGCTTCGATGACAGCACGTGGAGCCGTACAACCAATGTAAACATAGGATAACTACGCAAAAACAAGTAGATTTTTACGTATTTGCATACTTTCTAAATGAAAGTTAACCATTCTTTGACATTTGTTTATGAAAATGTGTAGACTTGTGAAACATGAACGGATGAAAAGCATATACAATATCTTGAATGGACTGTGAAAGATGTGACGAATCGTCACATGGCGCTGGCCTGTGGCCGAGGTACTATGCTCGTTGGCTGCCGGCCGCATGGAACTCTGGGTAGGAGAGTGGTTTGATACCAGTTATCTCAAATGGGTTTCTCACCCACAGGTGCGTAAGAAAGCCCACTCTCCTACCCAGAGTTCCTTGCGGCCGGCAGCCAGCCATCATAGTACCTCTGCCACAGGCCAGCGCCATGTGACGATTCGTCACATCTTTCACAGTCCATTCAAGACATTGCATATGCCTTCTTCCGTTTCATGTTTGACAAGGTTTATCACGCTTGTGTGTTTGGGGATGGTAAATATCCTGTATTAGGAATAAACACTATGTATTTAGCTCGCCAAGGCTCGCTAAATACTATGTTTATTCCTAATGCAGGATATTTACCATCCCCAAGCACACTCGCGTGGTGATCTCTATATACCTATAAAATATAGACAAACTTAGATTGACGACAATGACGATACCGGCGATAGGGTCGTAACAGGGTGGGACAGGATGAATAGGCCAGCTGACGAAGCATGGGGGTCACCAGGCGTGACAAAAATCTCTTAGAATATTACGTTTCCGCTTCTGAAAATGTAATAATGAGCATATAGGTAACTTAGGTATACACACATCAAAGTGTTATTCTTACCACGATGTCACTGGTAGGCCTAATTGTGTAGATGTCGAGTCGGGGTCGGGTGACACATCAGTTGATGTGGGTCTTCTCTTGTTTCCACTTGAGTTTTATCGTTTCCATGGTTCTTTTGGTTCATAAGCGTATGGTTTTGCAAGTTCTTGATGGGTCAAGGGAACTTCTTCGGATAAGGCAAGGAGAATTGGGGTGCTTCCATTGCATGGATGCCAATTTAGTTTCTGGGTCCCAGTGGTGGATCCATGTTTCATCACCTGTCAATAGACGATAAAGAAATCCGGCTTCATCAGTATAGAGATCCAGGAGGTCTCGATAACTTTCAGTTCTCTGATAGCGATCTTGAGCTCTGAGCTTTCTAGGTACCCATCTTGCACATACCTAGGACATACCAAGATGCTCGTGAATAATGGTTACAACAGCTCCAACTGATATTTGGAATTCCCTAGAAAATTAGGGATACTTTCACTCGTCGGTCAGACAAAATTCTTCTTTCTATAGCAGCAATAGTTTCCGGTCGGGTGGCATCTGAAGGAACTTTATTACAGCGCGTTGTTCATGTTTGAGAGAAAACATGATTGTGACCACCCATTAGGTGAATGAAGCCATCACATCTAACTTATTGTTGTGTCTGGAACTTGTTATGACACGTGTCAACCTGATGTTATGACTAGTGTCACACCTGCCACAAGTTGCCATTGTTTGTGTAAACACAAATGCCCAAGTTGCAAAACTTATTGAACGCCCCTCGTAGATCTGGAATCTAATTGTTGAATGCAAATGACCAAAACTAAACAAATATCTGTAATTTTCGGATTGAATCTTGTTGTGTTGTAGGGGCACTGATCTAACGCAATTCCCCGTACTGGTTGTTGCATTTGTTATTGTTTTTTCCCCGTGAGTACCCTGATGATACGCAACGCAACTGAGCGTGACATGAGACTGGGCTACCGTCTGCAAGGACAGCTAAATAAACTTAGAGGTTGGAGGCAATATTTGTTTTACGCATTTTTGAACACTGATGGGTTAACTGTGATCTATAAAGATTTCGACAAAGGGCGCATATTAATTAATTTTTTCAGCCTAAACAAACAGACTAAAAGAACGGCGGAGCTCATCGGATGTCATCATTTGGAAATACCCCAGATGGTTATAGTTCAATAATAAAAAAAAGTACCCATGCAGTGAAAGCATTTTCGGTTTTCGGATTGCGTCGATAATACGATTACTACTCCCTTGTTGTCATCAACGTTTTCTGGTATAAACCTACACTTGTGTATTTGTCGTCATTCACTTGATGCTCAGTTAATGAATTTATTACAGGTACAATTAGTGGTGGCACCACTTAGATTACCTGACAAAGGTTCCCATTTTGCATTTATTGTGTCTGGGGTAATTATTCAATCCAGGTTTGAAGTGAGGTGAAATGTGTGTTATGTAATATGCACGTGGCAGCCCAGCAAGAGCTGAATGATCAGTTGATTTACATTTTTTGTAAATCAACGGATCGTTCGTAGTCATCAAAGGATTAACAGAAAATATGTTGATTGATTAATCACTGTTATCTTGCACAGTGGATATGTCAAAAGTGAGTGTTTACATGACTAGGTTTAATAAAACAAAGGGAATACACTCATATCATGGCGTGAAGTGCCGATGTAAAGACAACATACTTTGTTCAAAGGGTTAACTGATAATACGTTGATTGATTGCTCATTGTTATCTATCACTCAATGGATTTTTTAGGAACCGTGGACGTTATGAAAATAGTTGTCACGTGGGCTTTCTCAGCCGACCCTTGAGACTTGACACCTATGTGAAACACCTGAAACAATCTAAGTGATCAGTCGAGAAACGAACACGGGTTATTTATATCCCGAAACGATATATATCTTTTAAAGTATTTGATTGTTACAGAGACACGTGTCATCGAATAAGTTTCTTTGTACAGCTGCAGATGAGTGGGATATTGTTCCTTTGTGTGGATATTCACGGATACATTCCTCGAACAAGGAAGCTGCCTAAAATTATACACATAAATTTGGTAGGTTATAATTATGGTATTTGCATTTTGTTTTCCTTCATTTGCTGTAGCATTGAACCGATTCGTTCTTGTTCCTCTACGTCTTGGTTGGGCAATTCTTCAATGCGCGATATATGTTGTTTTCATAAGTCTTTTCCTTTATAAGCGAGTATATATTACCGTCAATTTGTAAAATGTGATTCTCTCAGGCAATTTATAAAATGTGTAAATATTTCAGTCATTTTGACTGAAAAATCTGTCCAGATTGACTTAAATTGATTAAGACGATCAAAAAGGGCCTAAAAACGTCACAACAGATTATTATGTAGGATTTAGAAGCCAAACAACATAGAAATGTACTTTTCAGCGTAACATTTTCAGTCTCTTGGTGATGACATTAAACATCAAAATGTTTGGAATTCGTTATCATAATAATACAGATGGAAATGTTTTTCAGTCACTTTGTAAAATAACTGAATATTTAGGCGTTTAATAAATTTGAAAATGTTACACATTTTGACAGTAAAGAAATATACACACTATAAAAAAAAGCAATGCTCAGGTGAAATATTTACTTTGTGTTGCAAGTCAAAATAGTGTTAACGACAATCGCAAAATTACCAAGCAAGTGAATTATCAAAACTTCGTCACCATTACCGATGTTACCCACAAAGATACCTACATTTCCTTATTATCTCGAAAACTGTATTTCATTTTGTTGGTCAATGTGACCATACGCCCTTATTACTACCCATAACAGTGACTAATGCGCTTACGAATGGCGCAGCAGAGGTCGCGAACTAGTCTAGATTTCTGCTATACATCCGGGTACTCACAGGGAAAAAAACAGTAACAAAGGCAACAACCAGTCCCGGGGAATTGCTTTGGATCAGTGCCCCTTTAAGTATCGTTACTGTTACATTAACTGAAACTTGTTCTGCTACTGATCTGCCGTACAAATATACAACACAATACACTTTGACCACAAATGCATTGAATGTGTCTCATGTACACATGACCATGTGCTTTACTATTTATAGCGCAAACGTAAATAAGCTCCGCCCACTATGATTGATGCAGACGCCAAACACGATCGATTCGATTTTTTATGGTAAAACGACAGAAGTTTTATTTATTGACTTATATATAGATATGGAGCCATTTGGTGTATCCAGGGTTTGTAATTCAAGTTGATACGAAGTTTGACGGTCAGTGGTGACCTTGTTTGCGTACGGTTTTCAAAGCTTCTCCCGATATTCGGTTGTGTTTACATTGTCAGTCATTGTTCGAAAGTGAAACACCGCCACCTTGCGGGCTATTTATAGTCAGGGTGGGGCTTTAAACGACTGGGCTACCCGAAGACCCATTCTACAGAGAATCCCTTCAAGTAAATAGTCTTATCTTTGCCGGTCATTTATCAGTGAATGTGAGCAGGTGTTGATATAACCGTCACCACAGATCATAAATTAAAACCAGATCTGTTGGACATTGAGTAACCAAGAAACGGCGTTTGACCAAAACCAAATCAATCATACAAGCCCGGAGACGGAGAATAACAGAGACGCCTTGCCTTCAAGGTCATCACAAGCGAGTGAGGGGATACATGTTGTAAAACGCCGCACTCTGCAATATCATATTGTTATGTCTTATGAGTTGATGCTGAAATTGAGACGCGAAGGTTACCCAGAAATCGGAGGTTACTCTGCTTTACAAGTGCTATAGTAAGTTGCCACTAACAATTATCAGATAAAATCCACAATATATACTGCCAAATAGCCGTCGATATGTAAGTTAAACCCAATTTCACCTCACCTTACCTCACCAGACTCCTACTCAGACCCTACCCACAGAGTGACTAATTACATTACACTTACAGCATAGGTTACAGTTTAGTGTGGGCGAAAAGGCTCAACTTAGAAATTCCAAAATTGTCCACTTTTGGTGAAACCCACGAGCATGGTATAGTTTCTGACAAACCTAGGTTCATACCCGGGGCGAGTCTGGATTCAAACCTAGATCACCGAATCCTGGTAGGTAAGGGACGCAACTGATCATACAGTTACAACGCCACTTAACCACCATTATCAATCAAAGCGGCTTTAAACCCTAACTCAAATCTTACATATCGATTTCCTTTTAGAATACATTAGTTTGTTAATGTTTTTTTAAATATTTACACAAACACATGAAACCTTTGACACTAGTAGTCAAGGCATACCACATCGTGCTGGCGCCTAAGAACAAACAAGGGTCATGGCTGAAGTCAAGGGTGTGTATGGATATGAATTACTTGACTGTGACATATCAGGATTAATGCCAAAGGTCCAAAGACATCGCTCTCGACAACACAAACAGCAATAATACCAATATTTCATTACACAAGTGTAATATGTCACCGCATAACCTTCAGCAGCATAATTCTGACAACGGTAGCTTTGGTGAACTAGCCATCATCGGGCACCATCGGTATTAATCGGTTTCCGGGAAACGACGCGAGCACCAAGACAAGAAGTGAATAAAATATGGTCCGTGCAGGTTTGTTTTCCAATGAGCGACGCCAGTTTGTGGAACGTGAGTGTGTGGGGTCATTGAGTAGATGAAATAGACATCGGAATGAGCAGGTTGAACATGGCTTTGAACAGTCTTCAGTGATACCACGTGGCAGCTTGAAGTGGGAGTGAAGCCCGAAATGACGTTGGACATGAACGTTCACCACTTTGGTAAAACGCACAAGCACGGATATGGTGCTGACAAACCAAGGATCAACATTAAGGAGAATCTGGGATTCGAACCCGCGATCGGCCTGACATTGCTGACGGAAGAAATTCTGTATAGCGAATTTTGGTGATTGTTCCTCTCGTGGCTCCAAACGGAAATTTGAATCACGTGTGTAGGTAGACAAAATGAACATACAACGTGTGTAACAGCGGCATGGCCCAACGGTTCATCGAGATTCTTTGCCCTGTATTCAGTACCCTTTGAACATAATTACAACCTTCCGATTAATGCAACTTTCAATATCTTTTGAATGGCAAGGTTTGACTGTCGCAAATAATGTTAACACCTTTACTAAAATGTTTTAAATTCATATTTTACAAAAAGGCGTTGAACTTTTTTTAAACCATACAATTACAATCGTGGTATGTCTATGCAGGTTGACTGGAATTTCCGCTGACTGTTTCACAACGGTGATACGAAAATTGGGATCTGTCCAGATACCCGCCAGCAGGACTGGGATACAAATTTGACGGAGATCGTTCACTCTACAGGTGTATTGCAGGAACTATGGGAAAGTGTGCCGTCATTCTTGCATATCTTACGGTAAGTAAAGTATCCTTGTAATTGTAATATATTAACATGAAGTATCATATTGAATGTTTGTTGGTAAGATTTATTGATTTAAATACAAGACTTGGTTGATGTTAAAGCGGTGACATGTTTTTATAAAGTTTGTTAATTATATATGGGTCAGTTAATGATTTGTTTAGGACCTAATTCCACTTGTGTTCCTTGGTTAGTTGAAATCTCAAAAAGCCGGAGTCAGTGAGTGAGTATGATTTTGACGCCGCTTTAGCAACATGTCAGCAGTATAACGGCGGAGGAACATCAGAGATGACCTTTACACATTCTGCCATGAATTTTTTTCATCACTAGGCGCATCCTTTTCAAATGTTTAGAAGCTGTCCATAATGAAGTGTGGTTTTTATTTGGAAATAATCAAAACCGTTATCATGCTTTTTGTCAGAAAAGGGTTTGTAAATTCAGTTAAGTCCAATTTCGTCTTTCACATGTTCAACGCACGTGTTACTTTCATACTTTAAAAAAATTCTACATGTGGTTTGGCAACCATTCTGGCACATAAACAATTGACTATGAACGTCGAGGAAATATGCATGCAGATCATAACACGGTGGGTTTTGGATTTTATGATAGAATAGTCACACAACTAGGAATTCATGCCCCCACCCACAAACAATGTACCCACCTGAATAAAATGTGTTTGTTGTTGAATGAGAAGGTCACCAGAATGTAAGAAGACAACCACATACCATAAATAAGCAGCCTTCGAAATTCACGCTATTCCGGTAGCCCGAGGCTACTAAATTGTGTGGGTGAGTAAAAATCCAATAGACTACTTGCATTTAAGGGCTATACTTCCGAACTAGTTCTCCAACCTTCAATTTTGCTACAAACTGGAAATTAATAAAACTGACTGAAAATGTAAACATTGTAAACATTTTTACTTGTTCAAGAAGGACTATATAACTCTGAGGACCAGGGTGTCGTTGAACGAAACAGCTTAGCGCTACGACTGTCATTAGTCTATGTTGAGGGAGTTTGGAATTTTGTGCAACGGCACCCAGGTTATAACTAGTCCTCTCGAAATGTCTTAAAAATGAATTTCGAAAAGACTATATCAGGTGTGCAAATAATAGAAACGTTTAGAAAATTCCTGTCAATGCAAAAGTTTCATTCTAATGCATATATTTGGATAATATGTTAAATGCATTACAATCATTCTCACACTGTATAACTTTTAGGAAATAGAATAGAAAACAGATAAAATAGGAAGCACTTCACTTCATGCCATAATTACTTAATACGTTATATAACATGTACTTCATTCAGGCAATAAAGCGAAAGCGACTGTGTTAATAAATAGCAACCCACAGTACAATGTGTCTTAATCCTCCCCGGTAAGTTGTCATAAAGGCGCTTTTCTTAGGGTAACGATGGATAATGTAAGATATTCCATTTATTAGGTTGACATATGATAATTCGCAGAATGGTAGCAACGCATCATACATGTACGCACCCGTGAAAACACCAACATAGGAAATTGCCATCACGTTTGCTGTGGACGTTACTTAACGTTTTTCCGACGTTGACAGTTTTCTTTCTATACATGGGGCTAACGTTGCATCGATGATCAACGTTGCGTTGGCCCAACGTTTACGTAGAAGATTGCGCATACGTTAGCCCAACGTAACCAGGCTATCTGGTAAATATTACTTTCACTATCAGATTATTGCTTTGATGTAGTTCCGATAAATGCAGTTTTCAATAATATATCTGTCAGTGAGGTTTTCAGGTAACCAATTTAGCAGGTTTGTTTATGGATAACCCTTTCGACCGTCATTGTCAATATCCCTAGGACAAGTGAATGAGTAGGGTTTAACGTCGGTTTTAACAGTATTCAAGTTATATCGCGGCGTGTCAGCTTAATGTGGGAGAAAAGCCCGAAGTGATGCAGGTCTAAGACGTTTACCACTCCGGTGGAACCCACGAGCACGGGTATGGTGCTGACAAATCTAGAAACATAATCGGGGCGAACCCGGATACCAAAGAATTATGGTGTTGTGATGAATTGAGGTTTATCGATTATTGCACTTATATTGGCCCTTAAATTGTGTGTGTATGCTAATCCGGACTAATGCCGGTTTTATAATGATAGCCCACTAAGATACCATGCGCAGTTTTAACATGGACCCCATTCAGACACAGTATACTGACTACGGAGGCGGTTCGTGGAATTATGATATTTTATCAGCACAGACAACAGAATGCAAGGTAATTAAAATGGCAATACAAAATATGGCGAGTCATGCAAAAAACATCTTGAATAGCCTTTTAAGAGTATTGAACAATGTGTCACAATTAAGTTATTTGTCGAATATACGGTTGTGTAACCCATCATTTTGAACCCGAGGATGGATCTTTCAGTCATTTAAATTTATCGATGTTGACACCACCCTTTAATGACGATTGTACGATAAAGCCTATACCAACCATCCCTAACTAAACAGTTTTGTACGTTTGTCATCATACACAGTATTTCTCGAATTCTACATGTGAAACGCAAGCTCAACTGACAAAGATCATTTCTAGTCAATTGGCGTCTTGGACACTACGGTAGTAAGGTTATTACAATTTACGTAAGAATTTATTACATTTTACCGCAAGTAGAGATTATTACAATTAACGACAATTTTTATTACAATTTGCGTATTACAATTTACGTCAAATATTATTACAATTTACGTTGTTATTACAATTTACGTCAAATATTATTACAATTTACCTTTTTATTACAATTTACGTCGTAACAAACATTCCTTTAACTTATATTCAATTCAGTTGTATTTCGTTTATGTTCCAGGTATTAGTCGTTGTATGTGAAGGTAAGACTGCTTTTAATCAAATATTTCCCAGAATTTGAATTTGTATTTCTAAAAAGTTGTGGCTTTAGTAGGTACATTTGATTCGCCATGTCTACAATGGGACAGAGGGAATCCTTCGATGTGACCAGATATTTCTGCATGCGTCCTGTATGGGTGAACCACATAACTGCTTACACAACTTCAGACCTTATTGACCTTTCTAGGCCAGGTTCACACGATGCCGGTTATGGCTTTCGTTTGAGATCAGATACCGCTACGACATGAAAAGTTAAAAAGTCGGATTACTATCCTCAGTGATCTGGAATGTCCTGTCATTGTCTGAACGCAGTCGTATACGTTCGTAACAGAGTCCGACGGATCGGGAAAGGTCCAGAGAGGTCGGCCAAGCACTCCCGACAGTATGGTGCGTCGCGTAACATTCGGGAAACTCGATTTTGTCTAGTCGGATTACAATCGTGACTATGTCGTGACAGATTCTGCTGTATCGGATCAAAATCGTCTTGTCAATGTCCTGTGTAGTCTGGACGGTGTCCTGTTGATCGGGACGCTGTCGTGATGGACGGGCATGAATTGTTCATTGCCGTTTCTTGTCGATTGAGTCCAGATTGCGTCCAGATCTTGCCAAATACGAACCGTTCACTGGCCGGTCACTGTCGGATCTCTGTCGGATCGGATACAAAGATACAAATCGGATAAGATTCGGATTGAGAACGGGAGAATCGGGACGAATTCGGCTGGAAACGGCTGAATCGTGACGCTTCCTGAAAAATATCACAATATTGTGAATTTCCCGCCACGAATCACAGGATCTTGATTAGACTTTTGACAATTTTTAATCGGCAATGGTCCCATCAAGGACGGCAGTAAAAATCCTGAATGTGCGACTGAGTGAGCCCTTAGGGCATGAGTAGCCCTTAGTCGTTCCTGAATCCGATGATCGTGGGTTCGATTCTAATACTTGCACAGACTATGATTATTGTTTTTTTAGCACCATACCCATACTCGTAATTAAACGTAGGTAGCCAGCGATCCCCATACTGCATTCCTTGTTGAGCGCATGTTGTTTTATGTGTAAGTCCCGAAATTGCCATCTACATCACATCAGCATGTAAATCATCAAGTCTGCACCACACACTGCAGTGGCTGACAGTATGAGCAACGATCCACGCAGCCAGGGTACGGTGACACACGTGTACAATCACAAGGTCACACATCCCTACCGGATACATCGCCAAAAAGAGTAAGTGAGTGAGTATGGTTTTACGCCGCTTTAAGCAATATTCCAGCAATATCACCGCGGGGGGGCACAAGAAATGGGTTTCACACATTATACCCATGTGGGGTATCGAACCTGAGTATTCGGCGTGACGAGCGAACACTTTGACCACTAAGCTACCCCACCGGTCTTACAATAATATCAACTGTCACACCCACATTATACTCATATTATAAGTAGCACCGAGGCACTGTTCCATGCTGGGTACAATCAAATTGAGCTTGACGTCTTGCCCCCCCCCCCCCCCCCCCCCCCCAAGACGTCATCCTTATCTATATATGAGTTGAACGCCGCTTTGAACATCATTTCATATTGTGTCATTTTAAATTTAATGTGTAACCAAGCCGAAAATGACACAGATCTTACAAATTTACCGCTTTGTGGACGTTGCCGACGGTCCAAAAATATCGGAGAGAACTTGGGATTCGCACTCATCGAATCCTGGAAACGTATTACGGTTAGAACTCTGCACTGTGAGTTATCACGTACTGTTGTCATGGAGTGTGTTGGGGACTGTAATGTAGCCCAATGCATGGTTAAAGCGATGGGGCATCACAGCGACAACCCGAGTTCGATTTCCTACATGGGTAGAATTATTGGGGTCTTTCTTCGTGACCCGGTGGGAGGGTGTGTGGGTGTTGTTGGAACATTGTTACAAGCGGCGTCAAACCTAATATCTCCTTCGCTACAAGTGTTGTTGACCTTGGTGTTGGTGTGTCTGTGTCTGTACAGGGACAGGTAACCACGCCCCCTCGTTCAAGTTCGACTTCTACAAGCCTACAGTCCTGGAGACCTTTACCCCCGGGGGTCGGCTAGAGCAGCCCACAGCGATCGACCCCGACGGTGACCCATTGCTGTACAGCATCACAAGTAGGTACACGTTAGGCCACACACGAAATTTATTTGTTTCCCATCACCGACCTACCCAAAAATATATCCCTACCCTATACTTACCTATATTTATTTTAGTTTAAAACTTTATTCGGTTGAGGTGCAGAAATTGGGTTATGTGCCATTCCAAAGTTAGATATTACCAGTCATCTATTTTTAAAAAAATGCAACATAAACCTACTCGTGACTTGTTTATAGCAATACTTTGAGTTAGTACAATTGTGAATTTAATGCTGTATTTTAAGTCACACAGCGCACACGTAACTGGACATTCGTTAAAAATTATGTTACTTCACTGGCAAGTATCATTATTCTGTAAGGAATATCTATTTCCCCTTGCGTTGTAATATACACTGACACACTGCCCCTTAGGCTGACAAAACCCAGTAGTGTTTTTCACCCCAAACCGACCGACAAAGTTCATCTGGTATTGATAAAAAAAGAAAGTTCCAAACAAATAGAATATGATGTTTGTTTTAGAATCTGTCAAATAATAAATGTTGTCGTGATTTGCACGTGTTGGACCGGCGCCTAATCAATGTTCAAAGCGACCTTTCTCGCCACAACTTTGCTCTACGGTCAGTTTCTTTTCAAGTGACTCTGATAAATCGCAATATATCTGGGGACATTTTTTATGAAAAGTAATACTAGTTCTTCAGATATCAACAATCTCATAGTTCAAAGATCTGAGGACATCCAATGACGGGTCACGCCTGAACAATCTGTACGACCACGGACTTGTATAATAGGTCTGTGGTACGACTGAATCCGTCAAAATCATCGTCTATATCTCGCTTCAAAGGATAAACGTTTGAACGGAAGAGACGTTCCATAGCCTGTGGAAGTAGTGTCATGCAATCTAGGCCATCTTTTAGACATTCCAGTATGTTCTTATTTTCTGTTCTCTAATTTTGAATCGAAAATATTTTTCAAAGCAAAGTCAGGCCATGGAAGTCGCCAGTTTGAAACTAATTACGTATGGTTCGAAAAAAGCTTTCTGATTGGCTAGTGTCGACTTCTTGTTTGTCGCTTCATTAGTCGGACAAAGTTCGCGAAAAGACTTTGATTAGCGGTAGCCAGAACTAAGATCTGATCTTAATGAGATTGAGATATTAATAAATACCTTGTATCCAGTCATATTTAAAGGTTGTCATGTTCAACAACAATCACAAAGTTTATTATTATTATTATTAAGATATTTGTAAAAGCGGAGCAGTATATAGGAACGATTTTGTCGCACAACGTTCACCATCTGCAGGCGGTAACACCAACAACCAGTTCACCATAGACAGCACAACAGGCGTCATCATAAACACCAAACCGCTGGACCGAGAGACAGTCCCCAGCTACACCCTGTACCTGGCGGCGGTAGACGTCACGTCACATCAGACAGCGACAGCCAAGATGGTTGTCGTAGTATCTGACGTCAATGACAATGGCCCACATTGCTCCACTCCCCAGCACGCGTCTGTATGTGAGGTAGCACCCCCAGGACAAGTGGTCATATCACTGGGTTGTAGAGACGAAGATACAGGGCCCAACGCTGAGTCGACGTATGCGATCCAGCATCCAGGTTAGCTACAGAAGTAGTGAGTGAATGAATGTTGTGTTACGTCGCAGGCAGCAACATTCCAGTTACATGTACATCACGACGGGCAGTATATATTTTAATCTGGACGAGACAAATTAATGATTAATAGTTTGATACTTGTGAACTCCTGTGGGAAGTTGTCGCTTAAAAAATATAACGTTAACCTTCGATAACACGTCATACTTATGTCGCCAGTCAGGATCAAGTACATATTAGGTCTTCAGCAACCCTGACTTGTCGTAAAAGGCGACTATGCTTGTTGTAAGAGGCGACTAACAGAATCTGGTAGTCATGCTCGATGACTTGGTTGATGTATGTCATCGTATCCCTATTGCGTGGATCGATGCTCATGATGTCAGTCACTGGATTGTCTGGTCCAGACTCGATTATTTACAGACCGCCGTCATATAGCTGGAATATTGCTGAGTGCGCCGTTAAACAACAAACAAACAAACAAATCATACGTGTGTGTCAGTTTATTGATGTTTGTTGTTTAAAACCGCTGTTAGCAATATTCCAGCAGACCAAGGCGGCCTGCCAATTATCAACCTGGGCTGGACATACCAGTGATTGATGTTATGAACAGCGTCCCAGACCATCTTGGTACGATGGCATGCAATAAAGACACATATCTTGACAACCCGAATCATCCTTGTCGCCTCTCACGACCGACAAGTAATACAGTCCCGGGGACCTAATCTAACCTGGAATCTAAAAAATGTCTGCATTTATGATAAATGATGAAAATGTATTTGTAATGATTACACCTTCCAACAGACATTCGTGTGTCTAATCCTACCAATGGTGCTTTCTCACAAGGTTACCTTCCCTTCAACGTGTCACAATACGGCAACATCCTGGTTGCCTCACCCTTAGCCTTCAGAGACGACAAGAAAACCGCCGGCTTTAACACCTTCAGCTTCCCCGTAGGGGTCAGGAACGTCGCCTACCCCCATCACGAAACGGTGGTCAGGGTCCGGATAGACATCCATCAGTCAGGTCAGACGGAAAATTAAACTGAAATTAATAAAGCCTAAACAAATACACTGAAGTAAGTCGGGTCTAACGCCGCTTTGGGCAATTTGTTCAGTTACATCTCGGCGTGTCAGCTTAATATTGTAGGAAAGCCCACGCTTTGGTGAAACGTACGAGCACGGATTTGATACTGGTAAACCAAGAACTATTATCAGAGCTAATATGGATTCGAACCAACGATCATACGATTCTTATCCGCTGACTCTTTAAAAGCCATTCTTTAAAATGTAATGAATCCATATATTAAAGAATTCATTTTACGGGCACGTGTGTGCAACATTGATATCTCGGCCTGATCCGAGAAGGTGGACGGATGATCGAGCGAGGCAATGAGACCTCACTACGACATCATGCTGATCGTCCATTGGAATGTGTGTTTTGGCTTGTCTATGCCATGCAACATTAACTTTCCACAATATGCTGACACGCCGTGATAGAACTGAAATGTTGTTAAAAAGGTGTTTGGGTTCACCACTGACCAAGTTAAGTCGTAAAAGGCCCCGTACATTCGTTGTGCTGAGTTGCTTCTTTTAGGCGTGCCAGAATCCTACGATGTACAATAAGTTGCTGTTGAGCAAAAACCTCAACACTATAGACTGCGTTGCGGAAACACTAATCATTATCACTATATACCAAATATATCATAGGATGTATGAAAGGACACCGTTTTCAGTGGAAGTATGTACGTATCTGTTTTTGGTATTCATGGTTTCAGCTTGCCTCACCGGATGGCAGTTTGAGCGTTCCCCGGAACGGTATCTGTCCGTCAACGTTGTTAACGCTGTCACTGCATCATCGGTAACGTTCTGCACGCAGCAGTGCCTGGATGGAACTAGGTTCAGATGCAACTCCGTCAACTGGGACGTCGTGAGAGGACGCTGTGAGATGGTGACGGAGACGGCGTACACGAGACCAGGGAGATGGATGGACAGACCGGGCACTGTCCTGCTCAGAAAACATTGTGTGGCGGGTAAAGCGAGCTGGCAGTCTCACTAAAATCAGATTTTTTTACTCTGATACGATACGTATCTGCATAAACATCTGAAGACACCGCCATAGGAGTCGCGTCGGATGAACCTTCTGATCAGCAATCTAGCGTCGGGACTTCTAAATTCTCGCTACGAGTGACGAATCATTCTAAGCAGCATATAGGATATCTGTATCTCGAAAACGAACTGAAAAGACAATATCCGAAAGTAGAAAGTTTAAGGGCGCTCTTTCATTGTTGTGTATACTTTATACACCCTGTTGTTTCTGAGCACCGTGGCATCTACACCCAGAAGGGAGTACCATCGTTGTGTGGGTTTCAGTTGTACAAATCCAAAATTATAGATCAAGTGTAAAAATGAAATTTAAAATCAGATTGGTTCTCAGATCTTAACGCAAAACGTTTGTTTTTCGGAGTAAAGATATGATTTTAATGAGAGTGAGTCAGCATACCGATAATAGCACGGCTCTTGTCCTCATCCCCTGTTATCTCCAAGGCATAATTATTAATACCTTGGACCCATTTGCTGACAAAGTCTCAGTTTGGAAGGGATTCATGATCACACTCTTGCACATGGTAGCAAATGGTTCAAGCGTCCACAATTGTGTTACGCTGCAGTCATTCTACAAACTGATATCATGTATAGAACAAATACGAAAATTGCAAAATGATTATTGTAATGTTACAACTCATTTTCAATGGTACATTTTAGCACAATTTGATTTAGCTATGATGAATCATCTTCCCAAGGCAGGTGAGTTAACTGACTATAAAAGTCCAGTGGAAACCAGAAAGTTTTACCTTTATTGGTAAACACTAAAGGGGAGTTCTTCATCTTCTTTCAGAGCCGGAACCTTCGCCATACTTGAAACTCTTTCTCTCCAAGGTAGGTTTTTATGTCTGCATCAGCCACCCATACATTGTCACGTGTCCAAACGCCATATTACCATGTCAGTACGGCGTCATATGATGCCCCGGCATGTCCAAGTGAAACAGATCAGTCCAAGTGAGGTCCTTGGATGGTGACGTTGAATGGTATTTCTAGTTTTGAAAATTATGTATATAGTCCGACCTATGTAGATCAATGAATTTCAGTGCAACGCTTTTACCTTGCATGAGGAACAGTCTGCCGCAGTCTACAGGTGGTGGGGTCGTCGAGTGGTTAGAGTGCAAGCTGGACACGCTGAAATCGGGTCGATTCCCCAACTGGGTACAATGTGTGATGATTATCTTCAGGTTCAGACTCCGATCTTATTGAGGCTCCTTTTCAAGTTAAAGGGAGTTTTTATCAAAATTATTTACTTTCACTAAGCGTTAGCCTTATCAGGCTGGCATCACCCTAACATATCACGTTATTTTCACTTTTACTGTATTCACATATGTTTGCGACTAAAAGACCATGTCATCTATATCTGTCAACTAGGAAAAAAGATTGATTCAGATTTAAATCGGAATTGTCAAAAAGCACACCGATCATAATCTATATCGGTCACAAGTTTTTCCTTCATACCCAGCTCCCCGGGGTCAGTGGGCTGGTCCCCTACAAAGAGACCTACCCCCTGCTGGAGATGCTGCGTCTGTACACGGAGTGCCCTGACGACCAGACGCACGTGGACGTGTGGTGGGTGACAGAAGGGCTGCTGACGCTGGTGGACAGAACCAACTTCACTGAGATGGCTGATAATGCTACGGAGGCAGTAGTCCAGGTAGAAGGCACACCGTATCTGGCATTGTCGCCGGGGTTCGAGTCCCAGATTCACCACGATCATGATCCTAGGTCCATCAGCACCATACCCGGCTCGTGGTTTCACCAAAGTGTTAAACGTTTAGCATCTGCATCACTTTGTACTTCCCTGCCACATTAAGGCCCTTAGGTAACTGAAATAATGTTCAACGCTGCATTAAGTGAGTGAGTTTGGCTTGGTTGGTTGGCTTGCTGTTTTACGCCGCACCCAGCAATATTCCAGCTATATGACGGCGGTCCGTAAATAATCGAGTCTGGACCAGACAATCCAGTGAGTGACATCGTGAACATCGAGAGTTTGGTTTGGAAGAGTATTTCAGTTTAGCTAAGGATAAGACATGGATAAACGATTTCTTATTACAATTAGGGGTGACGTTTGGTGAAGGTTCTATGAAGCAGTTGATAACTGTGTTACAACCTACACCGCTCCTAATTGGAATAAGTTGATCATCCATATATCTTATACTTACTTAGTACTCCAAGGCCAAGAAGTATTTCGGTTATATCACGAGGTTGTGGCAAACTGATTAGGTGCTGCTCTTAGACATTTACCACTTTGGTGAAACCTAGGATTCGAACTTTCGGTCATAGGTTCAAGGCAGCCCTAAGGGACACAGCTGGACACAGTGAAGTGCAGCAAGTGGGCTACCCGTGTCCCTCAAAGCGGCGCTAAACTCGACCCGCGCACTATACAGTCCCTTATCGGTATCAAGTCAATCTTCAAGATTCCAAACCAACTCGGTCCACTGAATCGTTATTCAGGAAAAAGCCATTTCGAAACCATTTTGTAGATTCCGGTGAAGAACATCCCCCAGAGATCTCATACATCTCGTTATATCCGACTAGGGAATCGGTTGGTTAGCCTCTATTTGGCTGAATGTATGCTCATATCTGTTGTCTGGAAAACAAGAAAGGAAGAGAGTATGGGCACAACACAACAGGATTTTTTACTCTCCTATATTATTCTCCAACGTGAGAATACGTTGGTCAACATTACTTTAATTAATAATTGTTTATGGCGCATAGGCATTTAATAGGATCGGATATCAGTTATTAAAAGATTATTTTAATACAGTGTAATGCTTAGACTAAGCCAGCTGTATTTAGGGAAGAAAGGGAATGGAGTAATGAAATATATAAATGTTTGTCAGAACGTCACAGTAAAGTTATTGTCTGAAAAATAAACCACTCTATTTTCAGTCGATGGTCGACACTGTGTCCAACCTGCTACAGGATATGTTCGTGGGACACTGGGCGACGCTCCACGAGGTGGGTATCTGCCGCTAGGATCTACCATGGAATGGTTACAACCAACCTTAGAAATTCGGGGTTTTTTCAAAACTTTATTTCACTTTACCTCGGAGTGAGTAGCTAGTCCTGCTTGATCGAGACAATGATGTTTACTTTGTGTACATTTTCTGTCAGTTTTATTGATTTCCAATTTTTAGCAAAACTGAAGAGGTATAGTCTCAAATGCTACTGGTCAATGATGACTACCATCAGTGAGTTGGAGTTTAACGCTACTTTAAACAACATCATTTCAGTCATATCACATCAGGTCAGTTTAATGTGGGAGGGATTGGTGCAGGTCGTAGACATTTACCACACTGGTGTAGCCCACGAACATGGATATGGTGCTGACAAACCAAGCTACATAATGAGAGGGAACCTGGGAATGGGACCCACGATCGTAGGATTGTGCTAAAACACTAAGGGACACTCCGATCAGCGAATTGCGGCTCTTTGGACTACTTGGCCATCCCTTTCCCCATGACTGTTGAAGGCTCTCATGTTGTATTACACAGGCAGTGTATGGCAGTTCGTAGAAGCACTTAAGTCAGGCATGACAAAACATTGCACGTACAATAGTGTAATCTGATGTTTCAGAAAGGTCACGAGTCTTCTAAGATTCTGCGAACCATGGAGACGTTGACAACAACATTGGCAGCGACGTTGACAACGAACTTTACAGTGACTGCTGAAAGCCTGGTGGTCAGGGCGCTCCACGAAGACGCAGATCAACTTCAGGACCAGCTACTGGATATCACTCCAGGAGACGGGACCCTTAGTACAGTCTACTTACCCGCTGATGTCCTGGCTACAGGTATACAATCTCCCACTGATATTGGCCACCCAGTGCGGTCTACTTACCCGCTGATGTCCTGGCTACAGGTATACAATCTCCCCATGATATTGGCCACCCAGTGCGGTCTACTTACCCGCTGATGTCCTGGCTACAGGTATACAATCTCCCCCTGATATTGGCCACCCAGTGCGGTCTACTTACCCGCTGATGTCCTGGCTACAGGTATACAATCTCCCCATGATATTGGCCACCCAGTGCGGTCTACTTACCCGCTGATGTCCTGGCTACAGGTATACAATCTCCCCCTGATATTGGCCACCCAGTGCGGTCTACTTACCCACTGATGTCCTGGCTACAGGTATACAATCTCCCCATGATATTGGCCACTCAGTGCGGTCTACTTACCCACTGATGTCCTGGCTACAGGTATACAATCTCCCCCTGATTTTGGCCACCCAGTGCGGTCTACTTACCCGCTGATGTCCTGGCTACAGGTATACAATCTCCCCATCATATTGGCCACCCAGTGCGGTCTACTTACCCGCTGATGTCCTGGCTACAGGTATACAATCTCCCCCTGATATTGGCCACCCAGTGCGGTCTACTTACCCTCTGATGTCCTGGCTACAGGTATACAATCTCCCCATCATATTGGCCACCCAGTGCGGTCTACTTACCCGCTGATGTCCTGGCTACAGGTATACAATCTCCCCCTGATATTGGCCACCCAGTGCGGTCTACTTACCCTCTGATGTCCTGGCTACAGGTATACAATCTCCCCCTGATATTGGCCACCCAGTGCGGTCTACTTACCCGCTGATGTCCTGGCTACAGGTATACAATCTCCCCCTGATATTGGCCACCCAGTGCGGTCTACTTACCCTCTGATGTCCTGGATACAGGTATACAATCTCCCCCTGATATTGGCCACCCAGTGCGGTCTACTTACCCTCTGATGTCCTGGCTACAGGTATACAATCTCCCCATGATATTGGCCACCCAGTGCGGTCTACTTACCCTCTGATGTCCTGGCTACAGGTATACAATCTCCCCCTGATATTGGCCACCCAGTGCGGTCTACTTACCCTCTGATGTCCTGGCTACAGGTATACAATCTCCCCCTGATATTGGCCACCCAGTGCGGTCTACTTACCCGCTGATGTCCTGGCTACAGGTATACAATCTCCCCCTGATATTGGCCACCCAGTGCGGTCTACTTACCCGCTGATGTCCTGGATACAGGTATACAATCTCCCCATGATATTGGCCACCCAGTGCGGTCTACTTACCCGCTGATGTCCTGGCTACAGGTATACAATCTCCCCCTGATATTGGCCACCCAATGCGGTCTACTTACCCACTGAAGTCCTGGCTACAGGTATACAATCTCCCCATGATATTGGCCACCCAGTGCGGTCTACATACCCACTGATGCCCTTCGAATACTGGAATTTCTACAAATTTAATAAAACCACACATTATCAACACATATATCAGCCCTTTCACCAAAGGGTGAAATGAACAATAATATTATTATTGTCAACGTAGAAAGGTGCTTAGTAAATGAGAGAGTTTGTCTTAACGCCGCTAAAGCGGCGTGTCAGCTTGATGTGGGAGGAAAGCCTAAAGTGATGCAGGTCGTAGACGTTTCCACTTTGTCGAATCACACGAGCCCACGAGCCGGGGTATGGTGTTGATGAACCTAGAAACATAGGGATTAAAGTCATTAAAGACAATATGGTGTCAATTATCTGTTTTTAGGGTCGGATTCTGTAAATTTGGTGGTCAGTGTATACGACAACGTGGACAGAATCACCAACGTCACGGCTGCAGTTCGGCATCGCAACTCCACGGAGCCCCATGGCAGGTCGGTCTCCTCTGCAGATGACATATTTACACGAGATATTTGTCATTTGAATTTCCAACATCTCCTTGATAATACATGCTCTTGTCATTTAAAAGGAGTTACTGTATTGGATTAATTGATGTGATAGTGTAGCTTACTATTCAGTAAAGCTCCGGATTAAACGTTATAGCTGCTTTACTGATTTGTGCGTTAACGCCAAATACCCTGCTTGTGTATTACGCTTGATATTGCTGGAATATTGCTATAAGCGGCGTAAACCATACTCACTCACTTACTTTAATAGTCTCAGCTCACGTAAACTTTTACACATGCCATTTCTGACGTCATCGTAGTCGACGTTATGGCATCTGACTTCAACGTAGCTGACGTTACAATGTCTGCCTTCATGATAACCGATGTTTTTGTTTTTGACTTCAGAGTAGCCGACGTAATGTTATCCTACTTCATCGTAGCCAATGTTATGTTATAAATGTAACTTCATCGTAACTGACGTTTATGGTATCTGAGACTTCATCATAGCCGACTTTGCCGTCTTTGAATTCATCGTTTATGCTATCTAACTTAATCGTAGCCCACTTTATGGTGTCAGACTTCATCGTAGCCGACTTTGTGGTCTTCGTATTTCTCGTAGGCGACGTTGTGAACTCTCAATTCATCGTAGCCGACATTATGGTGTCTGACCTAATCGTAGTCGACGTTACGATGTCTGACTTCGTCGTAGCTGCATGAGTTTATGGTATCTGACTTCATCGTAGCCGACTGTGTGGTCTCTGAATTTATCGTAGCCGACGTTATGGTGTCCGACTTTATAGTAGCCGATGTTTTGTTATGTTGACTAAGTTAATCGTAGCAGACTTTATGGTGTCAGACTTGACAATCAATGTTTTGATTATAATGTTTAATTTATATGTAATAGCTGTATGTGGCTTTATGTGGCTTCGTAGTTGCAGACATAATGCGCTACGCCCAAAGATTATTGAAGTAGTTGCCCAATTCGGACGTATGGACCTGTTTGCACCCTGCTGTCCTTTGCTATGTGTGCTGAATAGTTTCTCAGTTCATGAATATTGTGTTGCAGAGACTCAAGAGTTGTTGGAGACGTGATATCGGTAGTCGTTCGCCCTCCAGTAGCCGGCAACATCTCCAGGCCTGTCGTCCTGGAGATTGAATCCACCCTTCCAGTGAGTCAGTAACGGCTCGTGTGAAAACGTCCTGAAAGACAAGAATAATGAGTCATGGTTAGAGAGTCTAATTTCACTGTGCATATACGTTCCCATCTGTAACTCGACCAGAAGGCAGGGCGTCCCGATTATAGAGGCCTCATTCTGTATGTATGTCAAGATCTGTAATCATTGTAATGGTTGAGGTACATGTAACGTTATACTTACGATTAGTCTCTGAAAATGTACTACTCAAACTAGCTTATAGAACATCCACAATTGGAAGTCTGTGATGCAATACACACCCGCCATCACAGATTAACTATGGTCAATCTTTTTTGAGTAATGTTTAATAAAACACAGCAATTACAATTAAAGTGTAAGGGAGCGCCAGTGAGATGAGAGATTCAGAAGTGGAACCTGTGGAAACTCTAGACTTGCTTCATATAGGGCTATAAGCATTACAGTAAGGGCTGGACGGGAGGGAACATAATATGGTTCAGTGACTGTGAGACAGATTGTGTCTAGAAGACAGACAGACAGACAGATAATTTATTTGAGTCTCACCTCGTTACATAAAAAATACTTTGGAAATAAACTCTTTAAAAAAATCTCTCTGCAAGAGGTGTATTTGTGTAGCGTCCTGTCTCAACTCTCAGCGGCGCTACACCACATGTGAACCTTGTCAGGGCGCTTCTTAGATTTCTAGGGAGGCTTTTGTGTACATATGCTTCAACACTGTAAACAAATTGCAGGTGCAGTAAGTTCGCAATTTATTGCCACCTGTCCCACGTTTGCTGTTCTTTAATTCTATTGCTGTCCACCACCTCCACTCTTCTTTGAATTCTTCAAACATTCTGCATTGTACTTCCGATGACACATATTTACTGCCGTATCTGTTGTCAATGGAGATTATGTGCGTCATGCCAAGTGTTTCTAATTTCTGGTGAATTCTAAAGATAACATTTCGTTTTCTTCTGGTTGCCCAGTGCGGACTCCACGTGAAAACGCGATGTGCAAAGCGACCTTGGTGTAGGAAGAATCTCATGGCTCTGTTCTTTACAGCCTCTTTGCACGTCATGTTGTATGTTCCCCATATACCAGCATCGTATTCCGTATATCACCGACCACTACAAAGAATCATATAACTTTGAGAACGTATTGTATTGCATTCCTTCCGAGCAGCTTGTATTTCGATATGAGGAGGCCAAGCGCTCTACTGGCCGAGCTGGCTGCTGCTCGTGCCATCCGATTAAAATCTAAGTGATCTGTTAAAAGTATGCCGAGATAATTATAAAACTCCACGACCTCCAGGTTGTGGTCACCACATTTAAAAGTATAGTCTGTTCGAGTTGTAGTGGCGCTCCTAAAATGGATCACCTTTGATCTGGATACATTAACAGACATAGAGTTGGATTGACACCATGTGTTAAGACAATCCAATAAAACGTTCAGGTCAGTTTCCCATTCTGCAAGTAGCACCAAATCATCGGCGTATGCTAAAATGCCAACTGTTATCTCGTTGATGACTACACCGATTGACAGATAGTTTATGGTAGAAATTAGGTCATTTATGAACAGGTTAAACAAAATGGGGGCGGTCGGGTAGCCTAGTGGTTAAAGTGCTCGCTCGTCACGCCGAAGACCCGGGTTCGATTCCCGACATGGGTACAATGTGTGAAGCCCATTTCTGGTGTCCCCCGCCGTGATATTGCTGGAATATTGCTAAAAGCGGCGTAAAACCATACTCACTCACTCAATTAAACAAAATGGCTGACAGCAAATATCCTTGTTTAAGACCGCATTTCAAGTCAAACAATGAAGTAGATTTCTTGTTGAGTCTCACACAACACTGTACACTTTTGTAGAGTGACGTAATTGCATGAAACTTTTTACCTTTAATGTTGGCCTCCAATTGTTTTGTCCACATCTTGCCGCGGTCAATATAGTCATACGCGTTCCTAAAGTCTATGAACGCTGCGTGTGTAGATTTCTTGAGGGATTTACCTGTTTCTACTATAGAAGTAATAGTTGCAATATGCTCCGTTGTTGACCGGCCTTTCCTGAATCCATTTTGATTATCCTCTAAAATTCCATTGTCATCTACATATTTGGATAACCTGTTATTTAAAATACTGTAGTATATCTTGTAAGATGCACTGGTGAGAGTAAGTCCTCTCTCTGATTGCGGGTCTCTTCGATTGTCTGTTGATGTCCTTGGGATAGGATTGGTGACTCCTTTAGTCCAGGTACCTATACAGCCAGTTTTAAAACATACAGTGAATAAGTTGTACAGGTGTTTGATACACATGTCATTGCAAAGAACCTCCACCGGAATATTGTCTATACCACTTGCCTTGCCCTTTTTAGCTTTGAAAACTGCAAAACGAACTTCTTCTATGGTGATAGGCATGCACATATGTAGGTCTTCTGTGATGGAGAAAGGCGTAGTGCTACTACTGCTCGGGTTACAGTTCAACAAATCCGAGTATGATTTTTTACCATTTCCTCAAAACAATAGCGGGATCACCATATACTGAACCATCACTTAAAGTCACCTCCATAGGAATAGTATTCTTCCGCTTGCAACCAACTCCCACGTTTCCAATTTTCTTCCAGAACTGCCCCATGTCAGAGTCGCATAAATCCCCCAACTCACTAAGTGTTGCCTTCACATGAGCACATTTAGCTCTCTTACAATGTTTGTCAAACAATTTCCGTTTTGACACATATATGCTTTTGAAATGTGATATCCGAACTCCTGTCGTTTTACACCATTGTTTCTCGACAGAGCACAATTCATTCCGTAAACAGGAGAGATCTTCTGTCCACCATTCCTTCTTTGCCCTACGGCGTATATTGTTTCGAGGATAATTCTGTATGATGGTTCTTGAAGGCACCTTATCAGTCATCTCCAATAGAACTACTTGAGCAAACACATCATAAGATTTATTCAAATCCTGTTGGGTTTTATTCGAAGTCTCCAGTTACCTGATAATCTCCTGTAAGTCTGCAATACATTCCCCCGATGACGTAAACTGTTCATGTACAGCCGTATTGTCGAACTTGGTAGAAGTATTAGAGTTGCCAGAAGAAACACTGTCATTTCCTGTTGCAGTACCTTGGGCTGGTATGTGTAGATCGACAGTCCATCTAAGTAATGCTAGTCTAGTTTAAGAATAACTATAGGATCAATGTCACCTACACAGCCTGCAATTGTAGCCAAATCATTGGGTCGACCTTGTGAATTCATAACAGAGTCTATAATGTTCCTATTGGGCAGATTATCCACTCCTTCGACATAATCCAACAATCCAATCCAATCCAATCCATAAAAGTAATATCAGCACGGTGATAATTATGTATCTGTAGAAAGTGTATCATAAAGATCTGAAGCGTCGACGTGTCTCGTATAGTTTTCTGGAGAGAAATAACATCCACTTGTAATCATAGCAGTCTTATTACTTTGTTTATCCACAAGTTTAATCAACAAAATTCCCTCGAAGGAATTGTCTATTACAGTAACATCAAATGTTGTACATATTTCATTTTTTGTTAAAAACCCGACCCCACCTGAGCCGTGTTTCGCCTTGACATGCAGAGATGTTCTGTTATGCCCGAACCACTTGTAGCCAACAACTGCTACCTCTTGTTGTCTAACTAAGTATGTTTCTGCAATCCCTAGAGAGGTTCTGTTATGCCCGAACCACTTTTAGCCATCAACTGCTACCTCTTGCTGTCTAACTAAGTAAGTTTCTGCAATCCCTAGAGAGGTTTTGTTATGCCCGAACCACTTGTAGCCATCAACTGCTACCGCTTGTTGTCTAACTAAGTATGTTTCTGCAATCCCTAGAGAGGTTTTGTTATGCCCGAACCACTTGTAGCCATCAACTGCTACCTCTTGTTGTCTAACTAAGTGTGTTATTGCAATCCCTATGATGTCCAAGTCACACGTAACAATGCAATGCGAGCGTAGCTTGTGGTTTTTCCAGCCCCCAACATTCCAGAACCCGCATGTCACCTATCTATGTCTTTGATTGGCTCCCCTCTCAGGGTTACCATCTGACCTCGTCTAGCATCTGTATACGTTTATATCTGTTTGTTTTACGGCAGGATTCGACCGTCAGGGTAATTTCAAGGGCATGTGTGTTTCTGGATGACCTGGGAGGGTAAGTATTGTGTTGCGAGGTGATTTCCAAATTGAACGCAAAGGTTAACACAGAAATATGTACATACAGAACTAAACTATGAAATCAATAAATGACCTCACAAGATCAATGAATTATCAATCAATTATATTCAAACATACAGGTTCAGGGTTACAATGAACAGAGTCAACCAAGTGGCAGCAGCATTAGTTAACAGTCCCTAGAATTAAAGTAAGTGTACGTACGAAAGTTCAGAATTTGTCACTGTTGAATATCTTGAAACAGGCCTGTCTCCGTTCTTGACTCCGGAATAGTGTTGGAAGCTGGCTGGATTTCAGTGTTTACAACGAGGTATCCAATCGCACTTGGCAAAAAGATAAGACGCGAGTCAGTCTCGAACGATGAGTGTTATCGTATAACTGTTGTCTTTTATAGATATATATAGCAAGCATTGAAGATTTGTATATATAGAATTCGAAAGGAAAATGACGAAGGAAAACCAAAAAATGTGAAAACAAACATATATACGCCCATAAGTAGCGATGATCTCATGCTTGGACGCGTCCTGACAACGATTTTGTTTTCGGGGGCGTTGCATAAACCAAATCACAGTTACGGGACATCGCAAATACCTCGTAACGTTGCGATATATACAGGGTTGCACATTTTGCGAAGTTCTTTTGATTCGGTTTAAAAACACACCTGTAAATTGCAATACGTCCGAAATCATTTGTAAGTGAAGGTAATAGCCTACAGGATGATTGAAGTGCACTGCTTAACCTCAGAAAGAACAATGTTAAACTCAAACAACTCGGCTAAATGGTGCAGGATCGTGCAGGGTGAAATCATTCTGCTGATATTCTTTACGGTATTAGTTCAGAATGCAGTGTGCGATAACAATGCTATCCCGATCTTAATGAAAATCACAAGGACAAGTAAAAGCAGTTAAACAATTGATTTAATATTCGGAGCATCTAAAATTGAAACAGCGAAACAAATGTTGAAGAAAGTTCTTAACCATGTATATAGTATGCATGTTTCCTTGTTATACGTTCAGGTCTTTCGTGTCAACCGATCCCCTGTAGCAGCGTCACTATGTAGGACCTCATTTCTAGCAAAACGTAAACATATCTACCAGGTCAAGGAAGACGTGAACAATATCGGTATGGCAACACGTCTCGGTTAATCACTAAATTTAATGTATTAATTAATGAGCACAATTAAGGTAACTTGCAGAATGATATTGTATGATAAAGAGATTATCACGCTTGTTTGTTTTGGGATGGTAAATATCCTGTAGTTGGAATAAACACTTTGCATTGAGCTCCTCAAAGCTCACTAAAAACATTTATTCCTTATACAGGACAGCCTCCATGTATATGGGATGATTGTGATGCTATCATCTTTCATCGACTGGCTATTAGGCATGAATCAGATCGGTGCATGCGATGTTAGTGGCGTGTCTTCTAGGACCTGTTGTGTGTGTTATAAGTGGAAAATCTTTTCATAGATGATACAGTTAACACATACTACCGAATCGTTTTGTTCAATAAGTCGTCTTAATTGTGTCCACCACCTTTATGTTGCAAGCTCCTACGACAGGTGCAATCGTGTCTTAACATTTGTTGTAAACTTAAGGTAACTTAGCGCAAAGACAGCTTCGAGAATACACTCAGCTAACATCGTTTTCGCGGGAAGTTGTTCGATAGTCCTTAAGGATTTACCTCCCTTGAAATGACGGTAATTATTTTATGACTGCTTTAATCATTTGGGTCAAAGCTTTGCCCTTGAAGTGTTCCAAATTTTGTGTTTGCTAACTTGTATTTACGATATGGGTATTGTTTGTCAAAGAAGAATTTACTCACAGTAACAATATTAACAATCTCATTTGTTAAAGTGTTTATAAAGTGTTCTATTTTCATAGTGGATATATACACATTGGATCAACAGCTTAAAGGTATGATAAGTAAATGTGTATTATGTTGTAAGCTGACATTGGTGATGATGCTGCTGATTGGTTGGTTCTAGACGTGATGTGTGGCGGCCAGACGGTTGCACGACGACGTCTCACAATGTCACCCACACCAGATGCGAGTGTCACCACCTCACTAACTTCGCCGTCCTCATGCAGATCTATCACGTCCAGGTACAGTGCAGTCAATACAGTTTTAACAGAATGGGCAAATGAAGCCTTGTTATATTACATTTCACTCTTTCCTTGATCTTCATACTCCTCTCTTGACTTAAAGACATCATCTTGACAGTGCTTTAGTGTTTGTTCCCACATATATTCCAGTCCTTTGACTTCCCTCTCTTTATCAGCTTCATTAGGTTTATGTGCGTTCAAAAATGTCATTTTATGCTTGTTTTAAAACTTATGTTAAATGTGAACCTTATTTGTCATTCTTAAATTCGCAAAATATGAGAACAACCCTCACGAGATTCAGACTGAGTTGTCATACTTTGGAAATTGAGAATGGACGTCATTATAAAATCCCAAGAATTTTAAGAAAATGCAAACTTTGTAAATTAGACTGTGTTAAAACCGAGTACCACTTCCTGCTTATTTGTCCATCGTATGTCAAGTTACGGCAACTATATCTCAAAGCAAAGTTCTATTGTCATCCTAACATTCATTAATTTAATATGCTTCTGTCATCACCAGATACATATATTATTACAAATCTAGCAAAATATCTATATTATGTAAATGAAGTAAGAAATGCGAAACTGAAAGCTTAAAACCTGTCTGTACTCACCTTTTGTACACAAAGGCCTGTGGCCTATATGTATTGGAAATAAAAATGATTGACATATTACATTTTGTATTTTATTACATACTTAATTCATTACTGGTATTCAAATTATGTAATTTCAGTAATGTTTCAAATACTTTATTAAAATATCACTTGTTAACAAACATTTTTGGCAACCGGGATCCCTGCTCCACACACACACGCGTGCACACATACAGTTGTAGGCCTTAGTCTTGCACGATGTTTCAAGAGAACATGCCTTCTTTCTGTGGGTCTCAGTTGGTGTTTATTGTCTGCATTTTTGCATTTGGGTTTTGCAATTAGTCATGCATATAGTCACGTTTTGATCATACCAACACAGACGTCATATTCCTGCTTCACATATCGTTCATGTGTTTATACACTCTTCAAAAGAAGAAACGCATAGGTGTTTTGAGAATTCCAATTAGATTTTTTTTCCAGCAATCGTCATAAAGACAATTCTTATATTTGATTCCCGTTAATCATGTCATGTTTGTTGTGCATTGCTTTCAGAAAAAAGTTTTCAGCACAATGCACGTGCAAAATGTTGGAAACAAGAGTAGAGACACTGACTATAAAAGGCCGTACAAAATTCATCAGTTCATTACGAATTTTCTGACGTGAACGGAGATCGAAAAAATGCCAAGATTAAAAGTTTTACTGCAGCTGACCGAAATATCGCCATTGGACGTTTGGAAGCAGGGGAGTCCAGTCTGCCGTTGCAAGACACTCCAACGTTCACCAAAGCACCATATCTCGACTATGGGATCAATATACCCGCACTAATTCGACTCAAGATCATCCAAGTAGTGGAAGACCAAGAGTGACCAACCCTGCTCAGGATCGGTACACCCGGTTGCATCACCTTCGGAATCGATTTGCTACAGCAACGGACACTGCAAGACAAGTGCCTGGTATGTGAAGAATTTCCGACCAAACCATCAGAAATCGTCGGAGGGAAGTGGGAATTCGAGCGAGACGACCAAAAGTTGCGACGTCTACACTGTCAACGACGTGTCTGGTGGTGCAACAGAGTACAGGCATGGGATCTCAGCAACTGGCGACGCGTTTGGTTCAGCGATGAGTCACGTTTTCTTCTTCAACGACGGGATGGAAGACAACGTGTATACCGACGTCGACATGAACGTTTTGCGCCGAACTGCGCTCGACAGGTGGACCGATTTGGTGGAGGGAGTGTCATGGTGTGGGGAGCCATATCCTACACGGGTAGATCACAGTTATACATTGACTAAATTCTGCGTCTGATGACAGTAAAAAGGGCGTTCTGGACCGGAAGTCGGGGGAGTTGGGGGATTTTCATTATTTACAGATCATTGAAAGAGTGTGCGCCTACTGACATAACACCAGAGAATGAAGCTAAGGTATGGACAGAACAATATATTGACCCATTGAAAAAATCTGTAAAAACTAGGTGATCAAGTGAGACTCTCATTTGAAACATGTATTTCAAAGGGATTATCAAGAGAAATGGACAGAGGAGATTTTTATCTCCTGTGGATCGATATCAAGTTCACTTGTTTGCCAGACGCATCTATCCTAATAATTCTGATAGGTTCATGTCAGCATATGAATCAGCTGTCCAAAAGCCATATGGAAATCTAACCATTGACTTACGTCCTATCACGCTGGATGCAAACAGGTTACAGTCAAATATATTAGCCAGGTTAGATCAAGAGAAGCCTATACCAACATTGAGCTGGAATTAGAACAAGCCTGTAGTCGAGAGGTCGTCTAACACAAGCCAACAGTTCATACCAGAGACTGAACCTATAAGTCAGAGAACACCACATAGCACAGCTATAAAAGGGAAGCAGCCTGAACCTCCGCACCATTTCACACCAGAAACTCAAACGGAGAACATCTCCGAACTAGCTGAGAACACTGTGGAGTTAGAAGACGAGACCATGCCTTCCTGTGACGAGCGTGGTATTATGTTTGAAAACAATCATGACCTTCAACGTCATGTGAGAACCTGGTGCCCAGAGAATGAAGGGAACCCTTGAAGAAACGAGCTAAAGTGGATAACGCAAATAATGCAAACCACCATGATGATATTATGAGTCCAGTTGACGCACATAAACCTAATGAAGCTGATAAAGAGAGGGAAGTCAAAGGACTGGAATATATGTGGGAACAAACACTAAAGCACTGCCAAGATGATGTCTTTAAGTCAAGAGAGGAGTATGAAGATCAAGGAAAGAGTGAAAGATGGATTGAAAAGAAATTGACGAAGTGCTGGAAAGCTACTTTCCTTGAAAGGCTTGTGAAAGCTATCAGATATGTTGGCTACTTTGGAAATGGACCCATCTTCAAACCAATTCTAGAGAAAGTGAGGACTCAGCTAGATCCTGACACAGAAACAGAAGAATTGGATCGTAAAATCTCTCAGTGGATGAAACCAGTGGTCAAAGATATCCTCTCACATGTGGTCTTGTCACTGGCCGAAGATTTAGAACTGGTCAACCAATCTGATGATGACCAGGATAAGGATAATGATGATAAGGATATTTAATAATAATTAAACTCTTGTACATTAAAACATTTTTTCTGTAATTATGTGACTCTACATATCATATTGTTGTATGTATTGTACATATATAATAAAGTCATGTATACAAAAAATACTAGTTGAGTTATGATTTGAATGATAAAATCTTTTAGTATTTTATTTGAATTTACCTATCAGTTGAAATGTTAAGTCACCGAATCATATCATATTCTATTAGCATATGGGTCGAATTATCACATCACACTATTATCAACTGTGTACTCTAAATATTGATAAACACACAAACGCACCAGATACAGTTCAAACATTTATTCAACAATCATATTTTAATAGCAGTACATTTTATATCCATTGATTACAGCACAATATATTCCAACACAATGCATTTTATATATCATTTTCAATGCAATAAGACATATATAGAAGTATAATACATAATGAACAAACATAAATCATTGAGATGATATATTTGGGTATTTTCATGAGTCATGTAGCATCATATTCAAACAGAAGCTTTTACATCATAACATGGACATGGCTGTGTCAATTTATCTTAATACATCATACACACAAGGAATGAAATGGTTTCTAAGACTTGATTCTATAGTGTCCATGAGCTAACGTGTTTAACCCATCTTCCAAGACATACCTTTTGTCATCAAAGGGGGAAAGGCTAATTTTATTGATTTGAACAGTATAAAGCTGATGGTTACGACTTTGAATTTGGGTCATCTGGTGTCTAAATTGAGTATGCTTCATGAGACAATGTTTGTACTGTTCATGTCTTAATTGTCTCTTAATCACAGTTTTAGAAACTCCCTTGGCTCTTTGTTCCTCATTGATGACATAATCTATTATTTCATCAGTTTTCTCATCTTTCTCTGGGGCTTCAACATCATATGAATATAATTTAGGTCGAAGGCCGCAAAATGAAACCATGTGGTAACCTTCAGCTTCATCTATAAACTTGCCTAGGACTTTTTGGTTAGACTCTGAGTAGAGAGGGTGGGTTTTATGATAGTTTGAAGTATCAAACAACTCCATATGTTCTCCCATGTCAAAATAACACAATGAGTCTGTGTCAGTGAAACAGAGTTGGGCCTTGTCCCCGTACTTTGGTATGATAAAGTTATAATGAAAATCATACATGTGTATTTTTGAGAGATCCAAAATAGAAAAGCCTGCATACAGTGGTTGATTCAATTTTAATGTAGCCTTTTTCAAATGCACAGCAGCCAAATCAGAGAAAATTTTGAAAGCCTCAAAAGTAGGTTTAGCACACAGTTTCTTGAGGCGCTTGGCCGAGTTCACCAGTTCAACATTGACATGTTTGCGCACATTCATCATGCTACGGCCAAAACAAGAATTGTTGAGCAGTTAAAAAATGCTTTATCCGTTTCATTCTTATCTTCTTTACTTTTCTGTGTATTAAACTCAATGAACGGTTTGAACCAGGGCGATTGAGTGAATTGAATGGCTCTATGAATTTTGACGAGCTTTAATCCTTGAGATATATAAAACTTGTAAATTTCTATAGTGAATGACATACTTTTCTTTATCAAATAAATTGGGGATTAGCTTTTTTCAAGGTTTCCCTTTGATTTTCAATTCCTTTTTCAAGTTTTGAGAGTGAGGGGAGAACATTTCATGACTGACTACCATGGGTTCAGGGGCAAGGGGATAATCACTATGAGTGTCATGGAGGTTTGGGGGATACTCCAGATCTACCTTTAATATGTATCCCACATCTGCATTTTCATCTACATTCATAATGTCTAATGTCTCTAAGTCATCGGCAGACACCCATTGAAAATCGCGCTCGGGCAGTGGTTGTGACAT